CTTTCCTTTCCTTGTCAACCTTGATCTTCTGTCCGGTGTATAGAGTGTATGTCATCTCAGCTATTTACACGAACTGTGCACAACTCAGGGTGAGAGGCTCATCCACAATGGAAGCGTCTGTGTCTGGTCTTAGAAGACACTCTATATCTTCGTGTCACGACCAGTGCTTCAAAAGACTATAAAAACTAGTAGTGTGAGAAAACTTAAAAGAGATGATGATGACAGAATTGACGCGGTCAAAAACTTTTATCTTCTATCCAATGATTTTTCAAAGGTTCGTCTTGCATTCGATCGTGCATACACGTAAGCACTTTTTCTTCAAGGCTATGAAATAAATGACGAATAGAGTTTATGGATCCGCTTCTGCTCTCCGCAGTGTTGAATCCAACAAAAGGTGTAAGACTTTTTTCTTTACATTGGTGTAATACTGTGGGAGGTCGAATGTGGATACGGTTGTCAGTTTATTGGAACAAAATGAAGCAAAAATTAACAAAAATCACTGTAAATCAGATGGGTTTTATCTGGTGGCTTTTGCTTTCCACAATCCATGTGTAAACATTGTTTTTATGTGCTCCCTAAAAGACACCACGGGCAGATTTTGGTGCGACCAAAACCCAAGATCAAAGCATTAGCAAACACATCACCGACGGCTGACTCTTGTGGGCACCAGCACGCGCGAACACTCGCCTACCTGCTAGTGGACAGCCCGGCTTTATCGGGGAGATTTCCTTAAGCCGCTAGTGAATTGTACCGTAACAAAGTTAGTTTAGGCCCCCAGGGGGTGTTGTGCGCGCGTGTAGATGTGTGTGTGTGTGTATGTGTGTGTGTGTGTGTGTGTATGTGTGTATGTGTGTGTGTGTGCGTGTGGGTGGGTGGGTGTGTAAGGGAAGATTGGGGGGGGGGAATGGAAAGAGATATAGAGATAGAGATAGAGATAGAGGGAGAGAGACAGAGAGAGAGAGAGAGAGAGAGAGAGAGAGAGAGAGAGAGAGAGAGAGAGAGAGAGAGAGAGAGAGAGAGAGAGAGAGAGAGAGAGAGAGAGAGAGAGAGAGAGAGAGAGAGAGAGGGGAACATTTTTCGATCTCTTTGATACGGTCTGGTTTTTGTTAGCTCCGCACGTACTTTTGAAGTCACACTAGCAATTTCTAAAGTGTACCTACAATTACAACGTCATAATCCTCGAGAAGCCTACTTTTTTCACTATAGACTTAAAGCAAAACTCAAGGAGAAATTCAAGTCCTCGTCAAGACAGCTCGGCTTTCGTGCTCGGGTTTTGGACTTACGTCTTGTGGTGAGGAAACTGACGGGTCGCCTTAAGAGAACAAATTAGAGAGATTATCCCGACCCAGTGTTTGGTGGTGAGGTAATGGTTGAATCCTGTGTCGCTCAAACTTAATGTTTCTTATGCGCGGGGTTAATTGCATTTTAATGCTCTTCTAATATATCTCACTCTTGTACATCGTGGAGACTAAATACACATTCCTCTACGCAACCCCCTGAGGCGAATATGCTCTCTCTTTCCCTCTCTCGGATCCCCATCTCCCCTACGTCTTGGCGTAGTGTTGTATTCAAACCTGTATTCTGACAACTACACACTCGTGAAAGAAACACCTTTCAATTAGCACAAAAAAACACGGAGACACCGACTAAGTACCTACCCTTATAGACTCCTCCTTCCAACACACAAACACACAAATACACACACACACACACACACATACACTCACAAACACCCATACACACATACACACAGACACACGCATATACCAATCAATTCTCACCTTATCGTAGAAACTGACATACTTGCAGCACAATTAGTACAGAATCCCCCCCCCCCCTCCTTCCTACCTTCGACGCGTAACCGTTTACAAACAACATGAAGAAATCTCCCTACGACAAAATAATTTAGTAGACCCCGGTATCAACAATTGTACCCAAGCAAGACAGTACGGACTTAACGTAACACTTCTTTATCTAGTCGCGTTTCTACACTGCGCTTTGGGTAGACTCTTGTGATTCGGAGAAGAAGAAGAGTCAGCAATAGCTTGGACACATTGTCAACACTTGGTGCACAGCTCAAGCAGTGTGCACAGACCTGGGAACAAGCGTAATGTTATAAGTGCATTGCAAACGGCTTGATCACACAAACGTTTTCGAAGCGATACTCAGTTTGTTAACAACCTGAACAACCGCTTGGCTCCCTGGTGTTAGTACATAGATCTAGTCTGACCACAGGTAACAAGAAAGAATATTTGCCATTTTCAGTCAGACCCTTTCTGACACACTGTTTTCTACCCCCCCCCCCCCTCCTGACGTCAGTGCAAAAAGATAACGGTTTATTAAGTCTCCAACAAATCACCCGCCCCTTCTATGCCCTCGTCCTATTTCCCTAGGTGGAAGGAAATATAATAAGACCAAAAATGGTGGTACCATTTCTAGTTCAGAAGAGTCCAGGGTCATTCGCTTTATGTGTTATTCTGCCTCCCCCCCCCCCCCCCCCACCACACACACACCTTTCACCTTTTCTCTATCCACGACTCGTAGATACGAAATAGTTGATTAAGTTGCTATTGACCTTTGAGTACAGGTATGCTTTAGATGTCAGGAAATTATAACTGAAAGAGATCGCAGCTCGTGTCTTGCACTCACTGACTTACTTTGAACTGGGACAATCTAACAACTTATCGGTTCACCTGCGGAGTTGCAATGGGGGAAATTACCTAATAATTGCAAGGTCGACAGAAGGCAAAAAGGAATAGTGGAATGGGTTTCTAGTTATAGTTGCTTGTTTATTATGTTTTTGCGAACCTAATTCGTTTGTGTTGATAAGCTCACAGGCGGGATGATCGCCTAGATATTCCCAAAGTGCGTTTATTTCACGAATTATTTAACTTTAACTGCCATCTGATGTTGCGAAGAAATGCATGATCCCAGTCTGAGATTAATGCTCAGCTCCTGGTGTGTTTATTATTGAAGAATATAACTCTTTTGTGCGTGTCAACAAAATTCCAGGGGTAAACGAAGATGATGGTCCTTCTAAAGCCCCTTGTTCTTTGAACTCAGACGAAAAATATATGAAATTTTCCGCTAAATTTCTGGAGGATTGTGTTCCCTCTAGCAGCAGCCCAATTTTGTATAAAGAAAGACGCAATTTGTCACCTGGTGTTGTAGCAGCAGGAACCACAACAGTTATGGAGGAGTGAAATTCCTCGTGACGGCGTGTGATGGCAGACACACACGACCTCAGTCAGGCGAGGACTTTTCGCGCCATTCTACATCAGTCCTGCCATCCATCTCCTCACTGGTACTTCCTCCCACCTTGCCTGAAACCTTTCTTAACCCTTCAGGTTAGTAGTGCTTCTGATCACTAATCCCTTCTTAAGAAAACAACATCCTATTAAGAGGTCATGCATTTTGAAGTACATGTACCTGTTTAATAAACGTTTTGAAAGATTCAGATGAACATGAAAAATAACATTTTCCGAAGATATATTATGTAGACTCTAATTACAGGCACATCTTGGAATTGTAATTAACTGGAAGTCACCAATAGTACGGCATTTGCTTTTTCCTCTGTTGTGTATCTTTGTCGGTGCGTCTCACTTAAGGTAAATGATAATATTCTTCTTTATAATTTGTAAAAAAAATTAATCTTTACTGCCTTTACTTATTCGCTGTTGTACTTTATTTAGTGTTTCAACGATTTTTAACGTCTTTCAAGATGAAATATCCGGAAGAAAGTAGTATTTATAAAAAGTGATGAAGCCCCCCCCCCCCCCCCAAGCCGTTTTCTAGTAATACAATAGGGTCCCCCCCCCCCCCTCATACACACACGCAGACATGTGTGCGTGTATATAATATACCGACTAACGAATATGTAAGCACAGACAGTCACACCCATCAAAAATACGAAGCACAAAACGTAAACAATGCGAGGGCAAACGGAATGCGGCACTGGTTTGTAACAATCACTGTGGGTTTGTTTTGGCGCGCGAACACAAAAAACCCGTTTGCTTTGAAGACGCGGAATCAAAACAAGGACAATATGTGTTTGTGCAGCCGCCTTCGTTTCCGATCTGTGCCTGCTTCTGCAGACCCTCGGTGGTTGATCATTCAATGCCATCAGCTGTAACTCTTCACCGCCCGTCCATTTGCGTTAGTTTTAGTACTAACAAGTATAAAGCCCCCCCATCCCCACCCGTATTCCGTTCCCCAGTAGGCCTGGGGGGGGGGGGGGGGTAGGATCTTGATAAACTGCAAACCCAGAAGAGCTATTCAGGTTGGAGTTGAAGGTTAAGCTAGATATTGTCAAACTTTGGCGGATTAGTACATTTGTGCTACCGTTCCGTCTTGGTACGGACACAGAGTACTTGATTAAAAAATATGTCTATCTATGCACTCTCTTAAAGCTACTACAGAATTAATTCTAATTCGTTGTATCTATTCAAAGGAGTGGCGTAAAGTCTTTATTTCTCATCCTACTATTACACTACCCCTCCCTTTTTTTCCCGGTCACACCCGAGTTTCAACTTATCTCTCTTTTTATTCAACTTCATCACTTCACTTCACTCACCCACACACCACGCTTGACACTGACCTTCACTCAGTTCTGTGTGTCACACGAGGACGCAAACCATTACTTTTTTTAAGGCGCAGTTTCCTCCCTGTGGTCATCCGAGAATTGTATACACGCCGGTGCGGTTAGACTAATGCGGTTTGACCCTTGTCATTAACCTTGACGAACCAGATTTCTCCTGGGGACGCCGATTATCAAAATATTCCTTCATCCTTGGCATTTCCCGTGCAACAACACCCGTCCGACATTTCAAACAGAGCCTTCAGAGTGAATGAAGGCGTAGTTTTCCTTGCATCCGACGTCACCCCGCTTACCGAAAGAGGACACTTCAGTTATGTTTAGCGTTTCGAGTGGTAGCTTTTCTTTTCCTATTTTTGAATAATATGGGTCCGCGTTGTCGTCAATGTTGTGTTGCTTACGTGAGTGGGAGCATGGCCAATTAAGAGCGAGGACTATTGAGGCCAGCATATTTGTGATGGAGATGCGGGGATAGTGGAGAGGGATAAGGCGGCTTACAGGTCACAGTTTTTCACTCGATTGAAGGACTGCGGGGTTCTTTTTTTCTGCCAGTCTTCGCGAATTGACATTTCAGAAAACAAATGCTCGGAAAGTGTAACTGGTTACTGGAGAAGAGAAAAGGAAATTGTGGTGTAAAAATAGCTGGGCGTCCCGGTGTTAACAGGTTAGACTATGGACGATTCTGTAGTTGAGGAAGAACTGGCCAAGGCAGTCGCTTTAAATTTGTTGCTTGTGATGTACGTAAGTGTTGTTCAATCACTAGTCCAAGTGCAAGTGGGTTTTTATATAGTTACATATAATCCATTGTTTATATAACTTCTTTGTACCATTTTTGGGGTCCATTATTTCCGAACTCGGTATTGAAAAGCCAGCAAGGGTGAGGCAAAACTTCGTTAAGCACCGAGTTACCTTTCCGAATTACAGTTGCACAAATAAATCGCTATCCTACCCTTTCTGAATGATTCGATTAAGGTTCATCAACGTTCCTCGCCAAACGATATACCAAAAGGTAGCTCTGTGCGACGAATGGACACCTGATTCGCCTGCTCGGGGAATCCGGCCGAAGACAATTACGATTACATCTGTGGGGTATTTTTGGAGTGAAGGTCAGGCGTATCATGTCTCCGCGTTAAATCAAACGCTTTGACTCCAGCTCTGTATTGTTGCCGTTTATTACAGTCAGGTTTATTTATTGTGGTGTGTATGGCTTTGATTATCGCTGGGAGCGTCACGAACGAACGCTTCCTGGTACGCTCTACCTTCCCATGCTGTGTTGTTTTCGTGTTGTCCTCGCTTTCCAAGATCGCTGAGTTATCTGCCCAGGTTTTTCGTGTATCTTCTTCTAATAAATTCCATCTTTCTTTCTCATACTCGTCTCAATTCCTCCGTCCCCTGTCGCTCTGTATTCCTTTCTCGTTTTCTCTCCTCTCTCCAATCCTCCATTCCGCTATCGATACATCTTCCTTTATCGTTCTTTTGCTTCTATTGTAAACTTGTTTTCCCTTTGTATTTTTGCTTTGCATATATTTTATTCCCCGAAGAACAAATACACAGAACAGAAGATGTGATTTGTACTTGACATACCTTCTGCTTGACGTATGCACAGACAATGCTATTAGTGCAACATTATCTATGTAGCAAAAATTGCAATGTATAATCTCCCAAGCAGCCTATATGCATTTCACAAGTAAATTTTTAATCTCCTTGTTTCCTCTGCCTCAAATTCCACGAATGCTTCAGGAGAAAATATCTCGAAAAGGTCAAAATACTAGCTTCTTGAAGTTAAAAAGAGTAGTGCCGGTATGTAAATTCTCGTAATATAAATAAGAAGGTAAATTTCGAGGGATTACTGCTGTTTATCCAATCTTCGATGGCTGACATACACATGAAGGGAAATCACAACTGCTTTGTTAGTTTTCAGTTTTCCTGTCCCTCCCCCCCCC